GATTGCTTTTGCTCAGGGACCTGGATATACTTGGTGGGTAATGCGGGAAGATGGGGAAGTCCGATGTATACCTCAAGGGGATTTGATTTTAGGGGAAAACAGCCAGTGAACTCAATTGTATGCCGTTGCCTGCTGTGTAATGCTTTTATAGCCCATCAACTAGATGTCTCCAGGTCACCAGCGACTGGCCCTGACTTCCCTCCAGCCATCATCCCAACAGAGAATGAACTTGGAACATCATGGACCGAATGGACTCGGCAGCATTATAGGGATTGGTCCATGCACTAGGAAAATGATTTTTTCCTCTTGGCCTGTATGTATATGGATGTATATATGTGGGAGAGCGATGGTATATTGAAAATGTGGGATCTGAGCACGACGTGAATGGTATGGAATAAGGGGTGGATAATGTCCTGGGTTCAGCAGTAGCAGTCATGTTTTTCCTTTGTGTTAACTGGTGCAGTGCTGTGTTTTGACTTCTAGCTTGAGAACAGTGTTGGTGAAGCTGCTGTTTTCGGTTGTTGCTAAGTGATGTTTACCCTGACCAAGGACTCTGTGAGGCTCATGCTCTGCCAGGGAGGAGGGGAAGCTGTGAGGAAGCAGAGACGGGGCGCCTGACCCGGGCTAGCCGGGGAGGTATTCCATACCACAGCACGTCATGCCTGGGGTGGGGGGTAACTGGGAGTTACCCGGAAGGACAGGGGCTTCCGGGTGGAACTCGCTTTCTTGGCCGGTGGTATCGTATTCTCTTCTCTTGTTATTTTCCCTTATCATTGTTTTAGCTGATAGTAGCGGTGTTGATTTGTTGCTGGACTGTTCTTGTCTCAACCCGTAGGAGTTGCACTCTCTCGATCCTCCTCCCCGTTCCTCTGGGAGCGGGGAAGGGGAGAGCCCCGGTGCGGGGCGGGGGGGGGAGACGGACACGGACTTCGATTGTTGTCAGCTCGGCACCACTCACTGGAAGTGAGCGAACGAGTTACCTGACTGGGTTTAAACCACGACAGGTACCTACAGTTTGATGAGGCCAATGGCTACAGCAGCAGAGAAGGATTGATGTGATACAAACCAAGCCACTCTTTCAGGGCCAGTGGCTAGGTTCATCTGTCCTTGTGAGTTTTCTTGTCTCTTATTTCCCAAGGCTCCTTAAACATACCATAAGCACCATGATAAGCACCAGTGCCTAAATGGGCTACAAGAAAGATGGAGAAGGGCTTCGGACAGGGGACTGTAGGGACAGGCCAAGGAGAATGACTTGAACCTGCCAGAGGGGAGACTGAGATGAGCTCTTAGGCAGAAGCTCTTCCCTGGGAAGGTGCTGAGGCACTGGCACAGGGTGCCCAGAGAAGCTGTGGCTGCCCCATCCCTGGCAGTGTTCAAGGCCAGGTTGGACACAGGGGGGTGGAGCAAGCTGCTCTAGTGGAAGGTGTCCCTGCCCGTGGCAGGGGTTGGAGCTGGATGAGCTTTAAACTCCCTTCCAACCCAAAGCAGGCTCGGATTCTATGAGTACATCCCAGCAGGAATATTTCATCTCTTTAAAACCAACACAGAGGAGCAAATCTTTACCTGGCACTATTCTGAGCAGCCTCCCCAGTTGCTGCAGTGATTTCTACCAGAGCAGGGCTAACCTGGACCTTTCATGGTATGGTCTCACATACCTGTGGAAGGGGGTCACCTCTTACAGCTGTAAATTCTCTTCCACATTAGATGACACTGGATATCTGCACAGCAAATCAAGGGGATTATCTCTTGAAGGCATCCTCCTGGCTTCCACACAAGAATGTCTCTCCTGAACCTTCAAGAGCTTCCAGCCTATTTTCATCAGATGAAGTTCTTCACTTGCACCAATGTGTCGCTTTTATATCTCTCCCTGCAGGTCTTTGCAGGCAACAGACACAAACACTTGGGGAACAAGTGTTTGTCACAGTTTTGGCGACAGTTCAGGGCTCTAAGATACATGAACCTTGGTTTTATATTGCTGGCCCCTGAATGAGAACCCATGAGTCACAACAGCCTAAACTGCTAATAAAGGCTTAGCTTTAGATTGGATCTAAGGAGGAAATTCTTTCCTGTTAGTGTGGTGAGGCACTGGAATAGGGTGCCCAGGGAGGTTGTGATTGCTCCATCCCTGGCAGTGTTCAAGACCAGGTTGGATGAGGCCTTGGGTGCCATGGTTTAGTGTGAGGTGTCCCTGCCCATGGCAGGGGGGCTGGAACTTGATGATCTTAAGGTTCTTTCCAACCCTAACTGTTCTATGATTCTATGATTCTATGCACACAGGCTGATGGAATATCTCTTCTAATTATTGTCACAAAGATGTCTAACCTGTTACAGCATTCAACATAAGAACAGTGACCTCCTAGATGTCCTTTCTGAACAATAACTATGTCCTGCGGTCTTCATGGTAACATCAGGTTGCTCCTGGCCTCATTCACCTTTGAATATGAGGGGGAATCCCTCCCCAGGGCTGCAGCTTCACAAGAGATTTCACTTCAAAGAAGGGAATTGTAAGCAATGGAATTCATAACTGAGAATGATGAACTGTGCTGAGACCACCCAGTGGTAAGGAGAATTTGGGCACATCAAGGGCTCATCCCATTCATATTAAGGGGTGTTGTACATTCATCTTAAGTCCTATTTACTTAAATGGTGAGATAAATGGAAATAAGCACCCACATGCCATGTCCATGACCAGCTCATGCTAAAGCACACCAGGGAAAACCAAACAGTCTATGCCACTTACAAATTAAGCCTGTTGATGGTGACTTAGGTCGGGGGAAAAGTGTCTTCTACTTGTGGTCAACAAAGGAGCCACAATCAATGCAATTAAATGCTGAAAAGTTAGGAAGGACAGAGGCCTTTGAAATCAGACCAGAAAATAACACTTGAATGTAATGTTCGATTTCTCACTCTAATTTCCTTCACTGAATAGGCTATCTATAAGTTTCCCATGTAGGGATAGGATCTGGGCAGAGAGGGACCGGCAGAACAGTGAGCACTGGCTGGGCTGTTGGGTGCAGAGGGTGACAGATTCTAGTCTGCAGGAGCCTGGAGACTGCCACAGGGGTTTGTCTCCTAAATCTGTCTAAACAGAACCAAAAGAGAACACCATGGGGTGCAGGACCCATCCCACAGTATCTGAGCAAGAGCAGTAGGGCAGGAACAGAGACCTGGGCCAAGGTCAGCCAAGATTCCAGGGTGTCAAGCAAGTAAGGGATTATGAGGCAGGTCCAAGACCAAGCCAAACCAAGCCAACACAGGTCAAATCAATCCCCTGATCACAGTCAGGTTCAGCAATTGCTAGGAAGATACATGAGCAAGCTTTGGTCACCATCAAAGGATCCCATAGATGTGCACAACTCCTGCTAAAATGGAAACAAAAAACTCAAAAATAGCCCAACTTCCCTGGGCTGAGCTTAAATAGAGGTGGGGGGCAAATGGGTGGAGGGTGGGGATGAAGCCCCAGCTGAGGTTGCTCAGGGGGATAAAGGCTTACTAGTTCACCCTGGGACAATTCATCACTGCCTCAAACGCCCATTTCTCACCCTGCAATACAGTGGAAGCCCTAAAGCACCAGCTCAGGTGTTGGCCATCCAGGCACTACATGTGGATAATCCCATTGGGTCTGGAAAACTGGGCACGCAAGTGTGCACAGAGGGATAGCAGCAGCAGCTCCAGAGAAAGAGTCACTTGTGGTTCCTGTCGCATTTAGGCACCCTCTACAAGATCTGAAATGTCTCTAAACCCATTCTCATTCTGTTGGCAACGACAGGCAGAATGCTTGGCATGGTGCATAAATATGCCAGAAGCATCCCAAGAGCTGCTCATCACTGGTGCTGCTGTGTAGCTGTGCTCAGGGACACCTCATGCACTCCATGACTCTCAGGTGCCCAAGCACCACAATGCCTTTCAGAGGTGATTTCACACCCTTTGCTTTTCCTTTTCTTTGTTTTCCTCTGCAAAAGCACGAGCAGCCCTGGAGGCTTCCTCCCAGGAGAGCACATGCAACTGTATTTACAGCCCCAGCATCACAAGCTGGGCTCTTGGAGTCTGGCAGGAGCTCCCCTCTCTTCACATCAGGTGCTTAACAGAAGTGATGCCGGTACATAGATGTTCTTTGCTGCACTGGGGATAAATCCTTGGCTCCCATCATTCGGTGGCAGAGGGAAGGCACAGGAGGTAACACCAACACAAAGCAGAGCCTCACCTGCAGTGAGGTAGTGGGTTTGATTCTTCATGTTCTCTCATCCTCTTAGGTAAAGCTGATTTATTCAAGAGAATCTTATTCTGTTATAAAGAAATGCAGCATTTCAGATCGTCAACAGAATATGGTCACTAACAAATCAGCCTTTGGATTCAGCCTCTTATAACATCAACTCTTTTTTAGGTCAAGCAACATAATGCCCATAGGTGTGAGGGTGCTTCAGCATGCTGGAACTCAGAAATGTATAAATCATGACTTTAGCAATGTGAATTTTATCCTTTTTGAATTATGTATAACACTTTGATAAATGCAATCTGAAGACTGGCATTAGAACTAAAAACCAAAGGAAAATTCTGGAGGTCATTAATGTGTAAGCTATCATTTCAATGGGAATGTGACTTTCTCTTGCTCAAGGTTTATGTGTGCTCCTATGAGGTTCCTCTAAGCTGTCTTCTGACGCAAACTGCCTCCAATCTGAAAGTGAGTAAAGATCTGATTCTTCACTCAAACCTGAAAAATCAGGTGCTTGAATAAATCCATAGTTTATGTTTCTCAGCATAGAAGAACAAAAATGGCAGTTTTTGCTTCATTGCACTCTCTGTTCTTTTCCAAATACCTCAAATGAAAAACAAAATCATATAATTTGGGTTTAAAAAATGCAATACAAAATATTAATTCCACCAAAACATGGCAGTTAAACTGGTGATCGATTGTAGTTAAATATGGTCCAAAAGTGAATTTCTGTTTGCAATGATTTTGATGTTTTCCTTCCTTTTGCCTTGGTAGGTACCACCTGGTCATGAGAGGAAATCACACGCAGACTAAATTCATCCTGTTGGGAATTACAGACAGCCCATGTGCGCAGACCCCTCTTTTAGTCTTGTTTCTATTGATTTACATTGTCACTTTGGTGGGGAACTTTGGCATTATCATCTTGGTGCGGGTGTCTCCCAGCCTCCACACCCCCATGTACTTCTTTCTCACCCATTTTGCCTTCACTGACATCTGCTATTCCACAGTCATCTGCCCCAGGATGCTGGCAGACAAAACCATTTCTTTCACTGGCTGCATGATGCAGTTCCTCACCTTTGCTTTCTTTGCCACTATTGAGTGTCACCTCCTGGCCATGATGGCCTATGATCGCCATGTTGCTATCTGCCAGCCCCTGCTTTATGTGACCATCATCTCCAGCCGTGTCTGCTGGCAGGTGGTAGCATCATCCTACCTATTCGCCTTCCTCAGTGCCATCGTCTACACATGGTGTGTGTTTGGAGGTTCCTTCTGTGGTCCCAACCGCATCGACCACTTCTTCTGTGACAAAGTTCCTGTAGTAAAGCTCCTGTGCTCCAACACCCACAGCAGCGAGATGATCATTTTTGCCTTCGTCACCATCAACTTAGTGGGCACGAGCGTGGTCATTTTACTCTCCTACATCTCTATCATCCGCACCGTGCTGAGGATGTGCTCAGCACAGAGCAGGATCAGAGCCTTCCACACCTGTGCTTCCCATTTGATGGCTGTTTCTATATTCTTTGGGAAAGGATTCTTCATGTACCTACAACTTTCTTCTAGCCGTAGGAGCCTGGATAAAGTGGCCTCCATCTTTTACACCGTGGTTACCCCAATGCTCAACCCCTTCATCTACACCCTGAGGAACAAGGAGGTAAAGGGGGCTCTGCTGAAGTGCGGGACAAGGTTGTTCAACCACTGGCAACACGCAAGACTTGTATCATGCAGGACATGAATACTCTACATCAAGTGAGAATGCCTAAACTAATGGGATTTTCCACTAATCCTCCTGACTTTATGTAGGTTCTTTCACAGTTCCTGCACAATAGTCAGAGTATTTAATGAGAAATAGAACCCCCATCGCATCTTTCTTGGAAGGAAACCAAGAGGAGCAGGAACCTCAAACTTCATTTCACTTCTCAGCCGCCAGTGTGTAGGAAGAGATTACCTTGAATTATCCCAGGCTTCTTTTTCCTCACAGGAAACACCAATTAGCTTTATTCAATTCTCACTTTTGTCACTGATAAATATCCACTTTTCTTGCAAGATTCTTGACCTTGTCCCTCAGCTCCAATATGTGTAATATGTGTTTATGTGTGTAAATATATATATGTGTGACAGAGGAATACAAATAAAATGTATAAAACTGGTATTACAAATAAAGTGACACATATAGACTTAGAGAATCACAGAATTGTTTAGGTTGGAAAAGACCTTTAAGATCATCCAGTCCAGCCATTCCCCAGCACTGCCAAGGCCACCACTAACCCATGGCACTAAGGGCCTTGTCTACACAGTTTGGGACACTTGTAGGAATGGTGACCCCAGCTCTGCCCCAGGCAGCCTATTCCAATGCCTGAGCAGCCTTTTAGATATTTACTAAAGTCAGCTGACTGGGAGGGTACTGTCCAAATGGAAGGTGGTAGCAGTGATCCTTCAGCAAGAGGGATTTGCTGGAAGCCTGCTGCAGTGTTTGGCTATGGGGATATGCTGGCTTTTGATCAGCCCTGGGGAAAACATACCTGGCATCTACACTGGATATAACTGTATAGGGGTTTTTCCCACTGATTTTTCCACTGGACTCCAGTATTTAAGCTCATTTTATAAATTCATACTGTCGTTGTTTCTATTTTTCCCCAAGAAAGTGATTTCTTACTTTCTAATCTTTTTACTACTACCTTCGGTTTCCTTTGCACAAGCATACGGGCCCTTTGAGGAGGCAGCGAGATCAAAGGAAGCTGACAGAGCCAGTTGTATTTAGAATTCCCATGACATTTCCCATGACAATTCCACTTGGACTCAATGTATGGATCTGCATGACTGTACTGCACAGAATCATCTCTATCTTGAGAAAAAAACTGATTTTCTCACCTCCTGGCTTGCTTTATAAATCAGAGCTTCAGAGAAGTAAATCCTCCAAGTCTCCTTTTTTTCTCTGTTCAGTTCTACAGGGTGTTGGGTGTCAATGTTTGGCTGCATCTACCGCAGACTCCTGTCTTTACCTGTTATTACTTTCTATCTTAGATGGTTGGGATACGATGCCAGCAGCCTCATTGGGCACATCACCTTTGGCAATCTTGCTTTCTCTCCCCTTCAGCTTTAGCTGAAAAATTTCCTTAGTGATTTCGTAAGTTAAAAATCTGAAGCTGTTAATTCCTCAACCTTTGAGATGAGTTGTCTTCTGGGGGACAGAATAGAACAAGATCGGAAACTGTCCTGAAGTTACTGAGAAAGAGCATTTCTTAGAGATGGCACCTCAGCATCTTCAAAGCAAAGAAACATTGAAGCTGGAAAGATTAAAGAGTCTTCACTAAGACTTGAAACCCATTTCCAAATAAAAGTGCTGCCTATCTACTAAAGACCATAATTCTAATATCATATTTTGAAATGGAGGAGATACTAATGACCAGAGAATAACACTGAATGGAATGCTCAGTTGATTACTCTATTTTCCTCACTGAGAAGACTATCTCCTAATTCATCCAAGCAGGGACATGGTCTGAATGGAGAGTGTGTGCCAGAGCAGTGAGCCCTGGCTGGGCTATTGGGTGCAGCCAGAGAAAAGTTCTAATTTCATAGAAGAGTCAGGGTTGGAAAGGACCTTAAGATCATCCAGTTCCAACCCCCTTACCATGGGCAGGGACACCTCACACTAAACCATGCCACTCAAGGATGGTTTGCAGAAACCTGGCCAGTACCACAGGGGTTTCTCTCTTTAATCTCTTGAAACAGAGCCAAAGGGGAACACCATGGGGTGCAGGGACCACCCCACAGTACCTGAGCAAGAGAAGCAGGGCAGGAACAGAGACCTGGGCCAAGTTCAGCCAAGACTCCAAATCATCAGGCAAGTTGGTGATGACAAGAGAGGTACGAGAGCAGGCCAAGTCAGATCAAATCAGGCCCTGAACCACGGTCAGGTCCAGCAATTGCTAGGAAAGTCTATGAGTAAACCTAGGTCTTCATCAAAGGATTCCACAGGTGTGCACACCTCCTGCCAAACTGGGAACCGGAACTCCTCTTATGAAGTTCAACCTCCCTGGGCTGAGATTAAATAGAGAAGGGGGACAAATGGGCAGAGGGTGGGGATGGAGGCCCAGCTGAGGCTGCTCAGGGGGATAAAGGCCTGTTACTTCACCCTGGGATAATTGATCATTGCCTCAAAATGCCCGTTTCTCATCCTTGAATACAGTGGAAGCCCAGAGTCACCAGCTCAGCAGGTCTTCATCAAAGGATTCCACATAAAGGATGTGCTCAGCACAGAGCAGGGCCAGAGCCTTCCACACCTGTGCATCCCATTTGATGGTTGTTGACTTATTCTATGATACAACGTTTTTCATGTACCTACAACCGCTATCTAGCCACAGGAGACTGGATAAGGTGGCCTCCGTCTTCTACACCATGATCACCCCCATGCTCAACCCATTAATCTACAGCCTGAGGAACAAGGACGTGAAGGCGGCTCTGGTCAAGTGCACAAGGAGGTTCTTCAACCACTGGCTACACAAAAGAGCTCTGTCATCCAGGACATGAACAGTTCATCTTAACTGAGGAAGACTGCGATGCACTAAAACAATGAGATTTTCCCTATTCCACATGACTTTATTTATGTTCTTCCACAGATCCTGCACAGAAGTCAATAACAGTATGTAATGAGAAAGAGACCCAGCCATCACATGCTCCTTGGAAGGAAATCAAGAGGAGAAGGAACCTCAAACTTCAATTCAGTTTGTAGGCACCAGTCTGTAGGGAGAAATTACCCTCAATTATCCCAGGCTCCTTTTCCTCACAGGAAACACCAATCAGCTTTATTCATTTATAACTTTTGTCACTCGTAATTATCTATTTTTCTTACAAGATTGTTGACCTTGTTCTCTGCTCCAATAAAATTCCTCACTCTTACCTGCGAGCTCTTTATTAAAGCTGCTGGGGTGGGAGGGAAGAGCAAGTGTTGTTTTACATTTGCTTGCTGAAAAAGAGTCACAGAAAAGGTTTCAAAAGATTCATTGCATTTGTTTGTGCCTTTCAAAGAGAAGAAGTTGGTGGGAATCAAGCTCTCAAGTTGCACTTTTGAATATCAGGGTGAATCCCTCCCCAGGCTGAAGCTTTACAATAGATTATACATAAAGGAAAAAATTGTAGACAATATCATTCATAACACAGGATGATGAGCTGTGCTGAGACCACCCAGTGTAAAGGAAAATTTGGGCACATCAGGTCTCCTCCCATTCATTTTAAGGGGTATTTTATACTCATTTGACATGACCTTTTACATAAATGGTGAGAGAAATGGAATTCCAGCTGGAGATTGGCACCCACATCCCATGTCCATGCCCAGCTGATGCTCAAGCACACTGGGAAACACCAAACAGTGGATTTCATATAAGAATTAAGCCTGTGGGAAGTTTCTGTTGAAGAAAGACAATCCTGAATACAGAATCAATGGTAATTGAGAGCTATCTGGGTCTCAAAGAAGCCAAAACACACTGATGGGGGAAAAATTCTTTAGCTGATGTGAGTAGGAATTAACTTCTATTTGGAAAGTATGTTTATAATGAACACACTGTTTATGTGCACTGAAAAACAACAGTATTAAGAGAACACATTGTCTTACGTGTGGGGGAACGTGTTGGCAGGACAGAGACTTTTGATCGGACAGCTTCCTTCAAAACCTTCAACACACCTTGTTTTCTACCATTTTGTTGGCTATTTTGGCTTAGACTATACATATAGAATCATAGAGCCACAGAAAGCCCAAGCTGGACCTCAAAATATTATCTGATCTGAGCTTTTGTGGAAACAGGAGTCTAGATGAGCAGTGTCATGTGGAGGGCTCATCACTGTCTGATGAATTAGCCCACTCTGGTGTCCTTATTTCCTCTTGGGTTTAAGAAAGTTTCCAAAGCAGAGACAACTAAAATAGTCAAAGGTTTACCTACACTTGGTGCTACCTTTCCAAGGGAAGTCTTGAATGCCATAGTCCTGTGTATGGTGGATCCGACTCAGTGAACTGGCAATAGGAACCTCAGTCTAACGTGCAGGGGAAGCACAATTGTGAATTCCAGCAATATAAGAAACAGGCTTGAGGTTTTGGAAATACATTTTATACTCAGAGCTTCATTGCATGATTCTGCTTCAATCTTTGCAGAGAAGGGATCTACAAAACGCAGAAAGCCCTGGCTGTAGACACAAACTTCTCACATCAAATACATGACAGAGGTCCTCTCATTAAGTACTTCTGATACCTCAAAAAGAAATCACCTTTTGGCAGGAAGAGCTGGACATGGGCCTCTTTACCCTGTTCTGCAGGTGCTGTTAGACCAGCCTGAATATTTTGGAGGAGAATATTGGATTCTCTGGAGATGATTCAAAACCTGGACTACATTGAAATGAGCATAAAAGACGATATTATTCAACAGCCTTATCTACCTAACAATTAGTTAACAAATCTCATCTTTAGATACCATATCTAGCTTTATCCATAGATAATAGAGAAGATAGAGATCTCAGAGCAGTGCCTAATTAGGTGAGGTTAATGCCAGTTTTTCTCTTAAAATAAATGTACTTCATTCATTATTTTGAGTTCATTTCCTGCACTTGTACAGAAAAAAAATACGTTGCCCTTTAATGATAGGGGAGAAAGACCCTGAAAATGAGAAGAGGTCGTAAGGCAGGTTTTAAGCCATCAACTGGGAGATGCTGATGGCCATGGAAGAGCATTTTCACAGGGCTATCAAGGAGCCCAGAACTAATGTTCAGTGCCCATCTGATAAGACAAAAAAAAAGAGGGGGGGGAAATAAAGGCAGTAAAATAGAGCAGATAAATCAGATTGTGGTGTTGTGCACAAGCCAGTCATAGGAAGAAAGACAGACTTGGAAATGGTTCCAAACCAGATCTTTAAGGTGAAGGAATAGGGTGGCAAAACAAAAGTCCTTGGTGTCAACTGAAGCTCTGGAGACCTTTGTCACAAAACCAGCAGCTAAACATCGTGCCAAAGCTACTTCCAGCTGACAAAGTCCCTCAGGGCGTTCTTCACCTCCCTGTTCCTGAGGCTGTAGATCAGGGGGTTCAGCATGGGCACCACCAGCGAGTAGAACACAGCAAAGACCTTATCCGTGCTCAGGCTGCTGCCAGACCCTGGTCGGAAGTTCAGGGCGAGGATGGACCCGTGGAAGATGGTGACTCCAGCCAGGTGAGAGGTGCACGTGGAGAAGGCTTTGTACCGGCCCCGAGCAGAGCTGATCCTTGAGACAGCAGCGAGGATGAAGGCGTAGGAGACCAGGACGGCCAAGATGGTCACCATCTCCACCAGCCCACCAAGGACAAATATCAGACACCTATTGACACGTGTGTCAGAGCAGGAGAGGGCCAGAACAGGCATGATTTCACAGTAGAAGTGGTTGACCTTGGCTGGCTGGCATAAAGGTAGGCTGAAGGCAAACTCTGTGTGCACCCAGGAGTTCAGCAGGCCAAGCACATAGGAACTGGCCACCAGTAGCATGCAGAGCCGGTGGGACATGATGGCCGAGTACAGCAAGGGCTTGCAGATGGCCATGTAGCGGTCGTACGCCATCGCAGCCAGGAGGAAGCACTCGGTGGTGCCAAAGGCTATGAAGAAGTAAAGCTGAGTTGCGCAGCCGATGACAGAGATTGTTTGCTTCTCCATCAGAAGGTTCATTAATGTCCTCGGTGCCACCACCGATGAGTAGCAAGCATCGAGGAGAGATAAGTTGCTAAGGAAAAAGTACATGGGGGTCTGCAACTGAGCGCTGCTCCTGATGAGCACAACCATGCCCAGGTTCCCCACCAGCGTGATGAAGTAAATGAGGAGGAACAGGATGAACAAAGGCGCTTGCAGTTGTGGGTTGTCCGTCAGTCCGACAAGAGTCAGCTCTGTCACTTGCTTGCTTTGGTTTTCCTCAGCCATCTTCTCCTAAAGCACTGTAAGTTGTATTCATAGAGCCATAATAAACAGTTAATGGAGACACTCAGCACCTAAAAAGCCCATCAATCCCCAGGGTTTGGATGGCAAACCCTCTCCTTATCAGAGATCTGCTTCATTTGCATCAACATTCATCAAAAAGCAGTTTAGCAAAGCAATGAATGTTTTATTCTGGTAGCAGTCACTCTGCCAAGTGTTTCCTATTCCATTCATTATAAAACACATCTCCCTGATGTATACTCATGGTATATATCACACTCCAGGGTAACCCTCCCAAGTTCTAACAAAGAAAGTGTAAAAGAAGGGGTTCAGTGCTTCCTGTAAAGAATTACTGACATCAATAATGAAAATCTCACACTAGACCATGTCTTTTTAGAGGTGACACGGTCTAGTGTGAGATGTCCCTGCCCAAGCCTGAGAGGTTGGAACTAGCTGAACTTCAGGTGCTTTCCAACCCAAACCAGTCTGTGATTCTGTAATTCTAGGACTTAGAATCACAGAATCAACTGAGTTGGAAAAGACCTTTCAGATCATCAAATCCAACCTTTGAAGAAGAATAGAACGTTTGGCATCTTAGGAAGCCTTCCCCATAGAGGTTTTCCTTAAAGGTGATTTTGCTTGCACACTGTAGATGAAACAGGAAAACCCCATTTATTCTTCAGTAACTTTTCATCTGTTTTGCTATTTCAGGGTTATTCTTCTATTGGGTATATAGAAATGGTGAAGTGCCATCATGAGGGAGAAAAGAAACCATTAAAACCAAAAAATGGCACAACAAATCTTTTCCTTTTTATCAACTTTTCCTACACCTCCTCTTTCTAAAATCCATATTTAAGAGTTCTATGAAAATACACCATGGCATCCTGCCTTTTAATCACAGAATCAGGGAGGGATATGGAGCAGCCTCCACAGGGGTCCACAAGGAACCACTGTAACATAAACACTTGGAAGAGACCAAGAAAAGAGAGAGGAAAACTGCTGGGAATAGCAGATCAATATTAGCCTAAGATCATGGAAAGCACTGTGCTGCTCATGGGGTGTGCGTCACTGTCAGCAAATCTCTGCAGTGCAATGAGCACAGCTTTCCTATCAGCAATCCCTGTAAAACTGGTATCAAAGAGCCTGGCTTATATTCAGAAAGGAAAATCAGATAAACCATTTATCCCTATGGAAGAAGCACATGGGGTTTAGCTCTATGTACAACCTGCAGCATGACAGAATTAATCAGGGTGGGATCACCGGCATTGCAGTGATAAAGGATTTATTATAACTGGTATTTTAGCTGCTATCTACTGCTATTAAAAAATAACCAAACCATTATAACTGGTTCAACACCCTTCACAAAATCCACGTGCTCTGTGATCTTCCTTCTTCTGGTGTTCTCTTGCTCTGCCATGAAATAAACAGCTCCTAATGGTCTGTCTAATAAAGATACAACCCAGAACAATCAAATTCCTCTCTACAGACCTCATCTCTAAAGGATGAAACCATTCTCCTGCCCTCCTGCTTCCTGCAAGGAATTATGCATTGTATTGCACAAGGAGACACTGGCACAGGGTGCCCAGAGAAGCTGTGGCTGCCCCATCCCTG